GACCAAATTTGAACTCATTTACTAACTGACACAAATTAAATTTGTCAGAGAAGTCTGAAAATGTCAAAGACAGACCTGTTTCTTTGATCGGTACTTCTCATCAAACCAACATAGTACACCCAATCGAATATGTATAGGCACAACACAGCGTGATAATTCGTATTGTAATTACTCATTAAATTATTGTGATGATCGTGATGACTAATCATTATGCTGTCTATATGTTCCATTGTGTACTGTATTGGCCTGATGAGAAGTACCAAAAAATAATCTACCTTCGTGTGATAATCGGAATAGTATTGAATATCGGAATACGAGAACGCACTGGATTGGGTCCAATCCGAACTGCGGACACCAAATGGAATTAGAGCATGTTTTAAAGAAAGCAATAGGCCATATCATTTGGTTGAAGGACCATCGTCCAATCACGTAACCGTTTTCGCCCACGCGTTATATATACTAACTCTGATGTAATTTTCGCCCAGTGTACCATTAGGCCAGCTTTGTTCACTTTGATTAGATGACATGAAGTTATATTTGGTCGTACTTGAAATGCGTTCACTTATGTCTGCATCACCACAACTCTATTCCCTCAAAAGTGCCTCATCAATCTGCCTCGCCTGACGGCTAAACCTACTGGCTGTAATCGTTGACCCCGTCTGTTCATGGGGGTATTCTTGTGTTTTGAATGCTTATGAAAGCCCATCTAACTGATTTGGCTCCGTCGGGTGTTCTGACACAGTTTTCATCCGATAGTCTTTTCTGGACGATGTTGAATGTCGTATTTGTTCGCAGTTAAGGTGATGCTCCACCTCTGTAGCATAGCGATGAATTTGTTGGGGTTGAACAAGAACTGCGGTGACGAGGGTAAATCGCAATCCGAAAAGATACTGGTGCAATCGTCGAACAGTCCAAATCGCAGTCCGCGCTTCTTTTTGAGTCTGCGGGTATCCGTTTTTAGCTGCATTAAGTAGACGTGAAATGCTGATCACTAAGCATTCCTCTTGTTCTAATACATCACCGATTCCGACGTCCGACGCATCGGTGATTAGTATGGTACGTCTGAATGGTGAAAACCTGGCCAAAACAGGACGATCAGTAAAGCAGCGAACTAAACCACGCAAGATATCATCACACTCTACTGACCTTTCCTAAGAGTCTGAACACTGAGCACAAAAAAGCGGCTGCGCCCTTGTGGAAAAGTTCGGGATAAATCGGGATTAGTACTGTGGGAATCCCATCACGGATCTCAAATGTGTTTGATCTTTTGAAGATTCGATGTTAGTCTACAGTTGGAAGCGGGTAGTATTGGGACATTATCCACGGGCATCAGCTGTGAATCCTGGAAACTCCAACTCACTCACACCAAACACACATTTGGATGGCTTGATAGCCATGTTCCTGGTGACGAATCGTTCCAGTAGCTGCGTAAGACACGCATCGTGTTCTTTCTTATTAAAGCCGAAAATGAGGACATCATCTTGATATGCAAGCACACTGTCGAGTCCTTTGATTAAACTGTCTATTTGTGGTAATCCAGGCCTACACGATGACGCCTATCCTGGAGCGACACCTTACAGTTTCAGGACATTGGCGATCAATCAAGCTTGAATGCTGACGTCAATGGCACGTGCATGGTTTCTGAATACACGTCATTGGTGGATGGTACCAGCCAATCCAATACAATGCGGACAGAAGCAAGATTACGCAAGTAGTACTGCAATCCGATTGGTGGAAGCCCAGATAGCCAATAATCTCCCCGTGTACATATTATTTAATCACCTTCATTTCTTCCAATAAACGAACTACTTACTGTCAGTCCTGTGGCCTTTTCCTCGCGTCTCGTTCTCGTGGGACATTGTGAATCCGTGCCTTTGTGCTCCAGTGCTTCTGCGATCCGGTCCATGTTAGTTGATTATTGATTCGGGTCCTGTTATTCATATTGCTGCTACCACTACTACTATTACTACTACTGCTACTACTACTACTACTACTACTACACCGACTCTGATAGTGTTACCAGAGACTGGTTCCACAGAGATCGCTGAGGCCTACAATTTCCAATTCGCCGAAAGACGGAAATTAGGGTCTAGAAAGATTATGTGAATAAGCATATTTACCATTAATGTTTTTCACTTTTGGTTTATTGATTGTAAAATTTACAGGAAAGTGATAGCTGCCTTTTAAAGACGACCTCGATAGATATCAACCTGCGGAAGATGGCTGTTCCAGCTCAGGACTCCAGATCGCTATTCTGATGACCTTAACTAATTGATAAACGCTGTGAAACTAACTTTAAAAAAAAACTATGGATGCCAGATATCTGACAGAAACGGACAGCGATAAACTCAACATTCCCACTAGTGCATCGTCCTGCTGTGCGATCTGGTACATGTGTATGTGTACAATGGAAATTGATCGTGATTGACAAATGAAACAAATTAACAGATGCAATTGGGAAACCCATCCCAAGAGAATAGTGATGGGTTATAACATAGTGCTGTTTTCCTATCTTCAGATTTTGGGCATTCAAACGGAAAAATGTCATCATCTAATCCTTCAAATTGCCCAGTGTTTGTTGCTAGGTTCCAGAATAATAAATTCACATTTAACTCAAATACTCGTGAGTAGTGATGTGGGATACTTGATATTGATTTGAACTGACTCCCTCAGATTTCACCTTTACACAATCGTTAGTTCTTCCAGTTTACCATACACTTGTGGAAGCACTAGATTCGATTTTCGCTTTTATTAGGGCTAATCGTCAGTAGTTTATATCCACCATCCCATCCTTGTCTATCGACTCTGGAAAAATCGCATAAGTGTGTTTGTTATCACTGTTTCATACGATTGGTCCGGATTTCAAAGCCCGGGAAGGATGGTAGATACTCTCTACTGATGAACCTAAATAAGAGCGAAAGTTGAGTCTAGTGCTTCCGAGTGTATGGTTGACTGCAAGAGCTGAGCATTGTGCGTGAAGGTACAGTCTAAAGTATGGTTATTTCAAATCAATAAGAAATTTTGTAGTGCATTGGACTGTTGACGAGTTCTCACCAGCAACCGGTATATTTCGTCGGAAGAACTTTATAGGTCCCCGTCATCCTACCCGTATCAGATGGTTGTGCGCATACGAGGTTACTGTGATGATCCAGACTTACGACACGGCAAATTCGCAATGGACAAACAAGATTTACAGCCAGATTTATTGATTCTGCAATAAATCTGTCCAACCCGAGTGCATCGATCTCGAGGCTGCATTCACATTTATGACAAATGAGCGCCTTAGCGAGTCGATATCGACATACTGCTGGAATGTAGTTTGCACTTGGTTTCGCACGGGCCGAAAGAATCTCACGGTCTTAATGAGGTCGATTTACTCCATCTGCCCACGACATCAGATGAAGTAAAATGAGTAGGATGAAATAAGGGAGTTCTATGCATGAAACAATCTCACACTATTTACGATAATTCACCAGATTGGTACAAGTTCGAATCGATAGTAAATAGCCTTAATCATTTATACAATAAAACACAGAAAACTGACAGACACGACGCAACAATGTTTTGATCACAATTTGTCACAAATCGATATACGTACAAGTCATATACACAATGGGCAGTCTCGTCACATGTGTGTGTGTGTGGGTGTGTGGGTGTGCATTTGTGAATCTGAGTCAGCAGAAGGGACACGTGATACAGAATTCAAAACAGGCATCAAAATGGTGATTGGAGAGGGAGAACTTGTACGATCAAATTCTTGTTTGGATAGGTCATAGGATTCAAATATGAATTTGAATTTTGAATGAATTCATGCGTATATGTGTGTGTGTGCGTATGCACGCGCTGATGCGTTTCACAATTTGGATCAGATGAAATGCACACGGGGTGGAAGCATCCAATTTGTCATGCAATCAATGAGAATAGAGAGACTGTTGAATGGAGCAAAACTGCACAAAATTCAAGAAAACATGATAAAAGCTGTAGGTATGAGTGAATGCAACGGACAGGGTAGGCAAGTGAAGGGGTGCGTGCTGGACGAGATGGAGACAGTATTCTTAATTGTTCAATCAGACATTTTTACAGAAGGATTTGGAAGGGTGTGGTAGGTACCATTCACCACGAACCACACGGACACAATTACATTTCCATGGCATCACTCGGCTGACACTAACTATGTGTATCGGTTGAATGCTGGAACGTATAGCACACATCTTGCCCAGTCGCATCCAGCATCATTCCAGCTGCTTGTTTGTTCAGCAATGTTTCCGAACAGTTGAGTTGACCGTACGTTTGTTCCTTGTCCGAATGATCCAGTCGACCGTTTACGGATTTCGAGGCTCGCGTTGTGCACAGCACATACGCGAATTCGATTATCTCGACCACGAATCCCGCGGTCAAACCGATTGTTAGGGAGCACAAGCCACCGATTCGGCTGAGCAAAACACTGATACTCAACACGAGCTTCTCACGATTTACTCGAACATCCCCCGAGCGTCGTTTGAGAACCACATAGGCGAAATTGTTCCCTTGCAAATTCAGATCGTTGATTGCGTTCTCCGGAATCTGTGTGCACATTAATCCCAGGGTGGTGGTGGTTGGGGAACGGGAAGGGGTACCGTTGGTTGGAAATAGAAGGAATTATTAAAAATAACCGTTAATATTCTCGTATATTGTAAATCTAATTCTCTCATGTCCGAGGTCTATTCTTGCATACGTGTGACGTTGAAAAATTAGACTTAAATTTTTGAAATTCAGTTCGATAAAACACGATTTATTTTGTTTGATTGATTTAATCCGTCTGATGATATTCACGAATCGAGTTCAATTCTGAAAATCTGTGTGGAGGGGGACACACAGTTGGAAAAGGATATCTATACTCGCGATTGGAGTCACTTCGATGGGGTGGCAGACTGAGGAAGAGTAGCTATATCATGGCCACGATGTCAGAAATCGACTTTGAAACACGAGGATTCCATACGAATGGGTCTCACTGTGTATGTGTGTGTTTTATCTCCATTCAATTCCGTTCGCTCATTTACCTACAAAACAATGAATGGATTTGTTTTTTGAAGAAGTAGACCATTGGTGATGCGTACCTGTTTGGCAGAGTTTGGGATAACATTTTAAACGTTTCGTGCATTTCTTTTTGTTTAGAAATCTCACCGGAATAAGAATGAGCTATATTATGGATAAGTTTAAAGTGAACTGTTTCGCATGACCTCCTCAGTCCTGTAAAACTTTCATGAGAGAGTCAACGGTAACAGTGGTGGCGCATCAACCATGCTTTGGGGGTCTAATGAGTCATAACTCCTCCCCTCCCCCCCCCCCCCNCCGAGGCTGATATTAAAGTAAAGGACCTTAGTTGGCGTTGGTGTTGATCATTCAGGTATGATGTAGTAGTTGAATTGGGTACAGATTACGAATAAGAATCACTAACGCAACTGGAACACTGATTCTCACCAACCCTTGCACGCTGAAATCTTCCGTGACGGAGACGTAAAGAAAAGGTGACAAAAGTAGCAGTTCATTTATCGAAATAAATCAATGAGATTAAATACCATGTATAACGGAAGTTTATTGGTCATACAGGTACCCACCAATCACCTGCTTGTGTTCTTGACATCATACAACTTCTGTCTGGACCGCACGACTTCTGATTATTCGGCTCAATCAGTCTCTGGTTCGTTGTCCAGAAACTATAACTCGTAAGCGCTCGACTGGCTTCATCTGGGAGAGTTGACTCACCACACTTGTCCAGAAACTGTGATGCGTCTCTCCGTGGCTGACATTGTCCCATAGGCTAGGATCACCACCTATGTTCAACAGTGCGCAACTCAGAGGTGGTGTTTGAAATTCCATCGTCGTTCAGCACTTGATTAATTTTCCTGCCTCAAACGGACTGCAGAGGTAGATGCTTTAAACGAGGAGGAGTAGCGGAAATAGTTATTTGCAGAGAGTGGTGTTTTTCTTTGTGGTTAGATTGGGTGAAATAAGTTGACCACTTGCTCAGTGAACCAGCAGTAAGCTCCCGAGTTCGATTTTCCGGATGGGCTAGCGAATTTACGCTGTTCAACTGGGTCCAAACAGTGGAGTACTACTCGGCCTATTTCCACTTCCCGATTTAATTACCTCTGTATAAGATGAAATTCATCGTGTTGTCTACAAACGCGTCATTGTTCTGATCGCACTTGGTTGGAAGGAGGACCGCGAAGTAGTTGAACCTTTTTTCTCCTGTGCGGCCTATGTAATTTCCTACTGAATGCTTTTCATGTAGACCGTTGTTGAAGCTTCAAATAAAGAACACGAAAAAACATGATTTCTTTAGTTCGGCCCTTCCGGGAATCGGATTTCGGACATTTTCAATGTGTTTGTCATGCGGAGCTTGATTCGCCTGAGACTCGCAATCCACCATTTCTCCTCATCCTCCATGTGTAACATTCACTCGACTGCCACTGGGAATGGAAGAACAAAGTGATCGATCTGGGCTGGACACCGCCACATATGTCCTGACTTGTTTGTTCACAACGTGAAAATTAGAAATCAATGACGATTTTCATCGCGGTCCACCTTTCGGATTAGTTGAGCAGTATGTGTGGTGATCCGGACTTTCGAGACGACGCCCACTCTGGAGCGACGTGTTACAGTTTTGGGACAAATGCGATCAATCAAAATTCACGGGTGACGTCAACAACGCGCGTTAGTGCCGCTGCTTCTGAATTCATACCATAGACAGATCGTAGCAACCAATCAGAGATCGTGCGGCCGAGACAAGCAGAACGATGTAAGCAATACTGGAACGCAATTGGTAGAAGCCCGGAGAACCAATGACTCTACTTTGTACATATTATTTAATCCCGGTGTTTCTTCCAATAAACGAACTACCATTTATGTAGCATTTCCTCCCGTTTCACTCACGTGGGATATTACGTGCACGTGCCGATGCGGTGATATCCGTGATTGCTAATCCATGATTTATATTCTATGATTCGTAGTTTGTGTTCAGTGCGTATTAGAAATACTACAATCAAAACAGTCGTTCATATTTTCCTGATGGGATATCATAAAATCATTGCATTTCATGTTCGTTCAAAGTCGTGTCAGGCAACATTTTTCTGTCCCGAAATAACACGGACTTTGAGTAGCTTTGTGGTACCATGTGGAGCACGGAATATGGATTCGGGATTTTCGTCTGAGTGTACTTTTGTGCACACACATAGACATACTATTTCTAAAGGATTTGATCACAATTTGAGTAGGCAGTACTGTCGCTCTTCATAGTGGCAGACAACGGGCAAGTCTTGTTCACAAAGTGTCAAATATTGATGAGACGATAGATCGATAATATTATGGTCATATGAATTAATCCCATTGGTCAACTCAGTCGTATCTCATACCCACCCNCCCCCCCCCCACCCCCAGACAAAGTAGATGCTTATTGATCCCATGGGACCTGTACACACACTGGGTTTGGATGTCAGTGCAGTGAAATGACAAATTTACACGTTCACTGGCGAGTGCTGCCCAATTAGTTGCTTTAATGTTTCATCAAGCCACAACTCGAATAAATCAATGGTTGGATCATAAACAATTTGAAATGGAAGAGATTTCCAGGTAGTACATCCTCTGAGACTGCAACAGTGACACCGGCAGTCTAGTCGGAATCTTTTGGAATCGATCTCACCGTTTTCACTGTGAATGCAAATCCTTCGGTGATCGTCGGCAGATTCTTCTCATCTCCACTCTTGTATCATATGTTTTACGAAAAGATATCAACATCACATGATGAGAATTCCATGTGAAAACTAAAACTAAAATCATTGGGGCAACTGTTTTGTTTTCGATTTCTGGAATTCGTAAACCGCGATGACTAATTTTGTGTTCATCACAGGATTTGAACCACGTACCATAGAGCTGGAATCTTTTGGCACTGATCTACATAGTATGTATTTCTTTTCGATAAAAAGTTGAAAGACTATCTCTGGTTGGAACTGTGCCAGTTACTGTCCTTAAGCACAGGAACAAGTGCATTACTTCATCCCACATAAGATACACATCGAGGTGTGAAATAACTTGATGAATTTATTTTAGATTCCATACAGCATATGGACTGACTCGAGATTCGAAGATGATGATTGTCCTCGGGCTCTGTAGTGAGTCAAACTCCCGAGATGACGCCAGTCAAAAGCCTGCAGGTTCCAGTTTCCAGACTTTGGGTCATGGACCACCATGGGTCAACCAATGATATATATATATATCTATTTGCATTAATTTCTTTCAAAAATGAACTGCTAATTCTGTGGCTTTTTTCCTGCGTCTCAGGGACGGTAGATTCCGACATCCAAGCATTGGTACGATTCTGTGATTCAGTTATATCCGTGATTCCTTATTCATAACCTGTTCTTAAAATTTGACTTGTACAGCCCCACTGAATGCTTTCGTGATCTACGTCCGTTGAAACACCGAATCACCGATTTTGTTCGTCATGAGATCGTTTTAGCAGAAGGGAGATGGCGAATAGTCAACACCCAAGGCTTTCTTCAGACGGAGAAGCCTCAAATTAAATCATGAAAGTTTTGTACAGTCCGACGGGTGATTTTTCAGTATAATTGCCAAAATACCGTGGAATAAGAAAACAATATGATGAAAAATGATGAAAAATAATTGAAAAGTCGAAGTAAAATTTTAATTGGAATGTTGGTATTTACGGATGAATGTACAGCTAGCTCCCTAAGATGCGCACCAAATAGGGAATATTTCCTTCATGAACATTCGATGGGCAGATGGGGATAAGTTCGAATTTGGAGAGGTCCGGGAAATTCGAGGGGTAGCCTTGAGGATCTTTTTGTGCAATCCGAAGTCAGCAATGAATAACAAACATTTTCATAAACTGGACACTCATGCAGCCAAAAAGCTCGCTGATAGAGAAATCCACAAGATCATTTCACGGGGTGATCCACTGGATCCAGGATGAAAATTTAAGAGACCTAACAAAGACAGTTAAATCTTAATCTTTCAACCTCGCGGAATTGATGAGGGTTACCATACAGCCAATGAGATATTATTCAAGGTATGACGGAGTTAACTATAGATAACTATTGATATTGATTGACACCAAGTTTCATAAATTAGTAAATGTAAATGACAATTTGTAAAGAGCTAGCTCATGTGAAAAAGCTGAAAATTTCCGAATTAAAACTCATCTGTTGGGACGGAGTTAAAACAACCCATCAGGTCGCGCAAGCAACCGCGTCACGTCATAAGCACACTCGTGGCGCTCCAGGCAAGCTCAGTCCGGATTGGATTGCTGTCGATCGAATTAGCCGATC